TGAGGATTTACAGAGACAAGTTGTGGAGTTAACTCAACGCTAGCGGCACAAGATTTCGGTGATCGTGAACAGGAAGGTCACGATTCCGATATCAGTTTCGAAAACCCGTACCACAATCACGCTCGAGTCTGGGAACACCATGGTCGGAAAGATCGTCATGTAGACTTCGGTTTCAAAGTGGATCTACCTAAGTTTTCTGGTACGTTACATGTCGAATGATTTGTCGATTGGTTGACTGAAGTTGAATGTATTTTTGAATATAAAGAAGTTCCAGATTGTGTCAAAATAAGACTGGTTGCTATCAAACTCAAGGGCAGAGCATCTGCATAATGGGAACCGTTGAGGCGTTCACGAGATAGGCAGGGCAATGCCAAAATCACCGATTGGGAGAAGATGAAAGTCACTTCCTTTCGGCTATACCCAAACCTTATTCCAACGGCTTCATTCACTTAGACGCACAAGATCGGTTGATGATTATACAAAGGAGTTCTATCAACGGATAACCCAGAATGATTTATCTGAGATGGGAGAGCATATGGTGGCACGGTATTTAGTGGGGGCGGGTCGCCCCCCGCCCCGTTGCCATCCCTAACCATAAGTTGGCAAATCAACGCAAAAATGGCAAGTAATCGAAATCTTTTCCTAATTGGGGCCATGGTATAAAAAGGCGTCCGTGAGGCGCGCCTCACCATGAGGCGTACATGTACTGCCTCGAGGCGGTTCTGCCGAGGCCATTTATGTAAGGCAAACGCCTCTTTAACTGAGGCGCACGCCTCAAGGCTTGCGCCTCAGGGTGCATGAGGCGTGCGCCTCAGCTGAAATATTTTTTGTTTCAACTTTATTAGTAAAAAACTGACTGGGCCCTTCTTTAAAAAAAATGGGCCCATTAAAAACGATTTTGTGGACCCAAAAAACCTAAAAAACTAAATTATATATCATATACGCAGCCAGAAAATTAGCAGGTTACTCAAGTCAGAATACCCGTCTTCTTCATCCTGCTTCTGGCCGGCTTCATCAGATCAGACATCAGGTATTCTTCTTCTTC